GAATCTTTACATTTGGTCTCAAAAGCAGGTCACGAATCTATGTTTAATAAACGTTGAAATTTAAGGGGAAAAATGACTGAAATAATAATTTAACAAAAACAACATAACACTAAACATTTATTATTCACCGCTACTAGTCCTGAAAAAAACAACAAAAAACTTCAAACACTTCAAACAAAACTTAATACTTAGATTTCGGTAAAGATGCTTTTAATCAAAATATTTAATAAAACACACACTCTTAATTTTTGTTTAATTATAAAAGTTTACATGTTCTAGTACAGGAAATTCGGTAAAAAAAATGTTGTTACGAATGCATACGTTTGTGTTGTGTAATAAATTAGCTACATTATTTATTAAGTTAAGCGCTAGTTCTGATATTTGCTTTCATTCCAATTTACTTATGATTCGAGTTAATTAATGATTCCTCTAAGTTTATAAAATAAACTGCCATCAGCTACATCACATATATAGTGCATGGCCGTCCGCGAGGGGACTTGTCCCCCTGGAAATGAAAAACATAATTCTTTCGCCCTCCCCGTGGCACAGCGCTATGTCTGAGGACTTGCAACGATAGAACCCGGGTTTCGATACCCATGGTGGGCAGAGCACAGATGTGTTTAAATTAAACCGACCACAATTATTGTTTTTTTTTATTTCATTCAGCTTTTGTATATGAAATTACAAGTCTTTTTATTCATTTCACACTACTTTCCCCCCCTGGAAAAAATTTCTGCGGATGTCCATGGTAGGTATTTTATGTTGTCTCTTTGCTTACCACAGTGAACCTATAATTTTATATTATTTGAAAAACACTCAGCATTGATGCCACTAATATATTCTTCGTACACATAATAAACAGTTCACCATTATGAGAAACCTAGTGTTAGTTTTCTTGATCTGCCCTTGTCCAATTCGGTGGAATTCCCCGAAACTTGCATAACTCGGCTTCATTATTAATTAGCTACATTAATTCTAATCTATCTTATTTTCATTAGAAGTTATTGATACTTTTATCTTTTGGTTTGCAGTAGTTACAAGTTCCTAAGTTTTAATTCATTTCTCAAAAGGAAACTTTGATAATAATGACAGTATCTCTTAAACGGCCTTCATCGCTCGCTTGTCAATAAACAATTATATCCAATCAGGTAGCTCAAAATTTAGCTACTAAACAAAAATCAAACCAAATGAAACATTTAATTAATGGAAAAGGAAATATCGGCTTACAAATGCCTTCAGATAATTTCCGACACAACGTCTTTAAAAAGCTAAATAAAGTTCCAAATGATTAGCATGGCGTAATTACCTTTACAAGCGACTCCAGATTGTTGACTTTTTCCTGCAGGGCTAATACGTCACACTGAGCTGTCTTATAGTTACAACGCGCCTCTTCCAGCGAGTTTCTTAACTGATGACATTCCTTGGTTACCTAGGTAACGAACACAATGTAGATTCAGATGACAATGAAATTAGTTCTTTAGCTACCTAGAGTAATAAACAACGAATAGCTTAGCAGAGACAGTTCTTATTAACAACAGCTATATTAGGGGTACTTAATAAAACGCTCGATTTGAAGACGATTTCTATTCTTCTTTGTAAGAAAGAGCCTCAGGGAACTTGAAAATATGAGTCTTTAATGGGGATCTAAAGTATTTCAAAACAGATACCGTCCAAGGAAACTCGTGGATATTAATTTGTATAATAATATGATACAAAACCTCTGGGGAATATGATCTCAACACCATTAAGAAATATATTAACTTTCTATTTCAGTAAAACCAATATATGGAAGGCTTACCTTCAAGCAGACTCTTGCGAAAAACCGAATAAAAAACGTTGATATTTTAATGGACAAATGACATTCTATGCCAAAATCCGCTTGTGATGAAATTTGATTCGTGGAGATGCTGAATGAACATAACAGGGTTGAATATAAGAAGATAATAGCATTACGGTTTTTATTTTACCTTTGTGTGATTATAATGCGAATGGTTTATTGTTAAGGACAAAACTACACAATGGGCTGTTAGTGATCTGCCCACCACGAGTATCGAAACCCGATTTTTTTTGCTTAAAAAGCCTCTCCAAAGATCTGACGTCCATTTATTTTGACTAAATTAACTGTCGCTGAAACAGATGTATTTAAAAATGTTCCACGTTATTTCACTGAACGTTCTTCTCATTTGTTGCTATCCAGACTTGTACCAGTTAGCTACTGGCAGTGACAAGAAACCATGAATCACATGTAAATAATACGGGAGCCAAAAGGCTTAGCTTCCATTTCTGGCGACCTCGTCAAAAGTTCACACAAATTGTGTGGTCAACTCCATGGCTGGTGCGGCCATCTTCTCCTTAATTCTGCCCAATTAGTCCTGTTTTTTATTGTTTGGTCAGTATCCTGAAGTTCACAGGAAGTGGACAGATGATTTTTAATGGCTATAATGCACTGGTAGAGTTATCGGGTGCTGTAGTTGACCTTGCATGACCTAAGTTGAGTGAAAACTTGTTCACCAACACACCCCATTATGAAATTAGATAAATTAATCCAAAATGCCAATTCTCTGCGCAAGTCCGGTTTCTAACATTTCAACAACTCTGACAGTCTGTACTTCCACCAATAATGTAGGCGGCAGTACAAAATACCGAACCAGTCGTGCGTTATAACAAGTCCTGGGAAATGCACACAAGGGTAAGAACATATCGGCTACGTCTTCAATTGTTATAATACAGTAAATTCGTAAAGTTTGTTTTCGGGCAAAGCTATTCACGGGCTATCTGCGCTCAGCCGTCCCTTATTTTAAATTATTAACTGAATAGTAAGAATTTGAACGTTACTTTTATAATGCACCCTCGGCTCCAATGTGCGGAACGGCTTTTAAAATTATTTTGTGGTAAAGAGACGCTAACATGGAATCCACAGATCCATAGTCCGGCAATTTTAAACACTGGGCCACGCTCGGATCAAATAAAGAAACAGTTTCATCCAATCTGTTACAACACAATATATCTGTAAGGATAACACCAAGAAACAACTTTGTCTATTCTGTTACAACACAACTACTTAGTAAGGATAACACTAAAAACAATTTTGTCTGTTCTGTTACAACACAATATATCTGTAAGGATAACACCAAGAAACAACTTTGTCTATTCTGTTACAACACAACTACTTAGTAAGGATAACACTAAAAACAATTTTGTCTGTTCTGTTACAACACAATATATCTGTAAGGATAACACCAAGAAACAACTTGTCTATTCTGTTACAACACAACTACTTAGTAAGGATAACACTAAAAACAATTTTGTCTGTTCTGTTACAACACAATATATCTGTAAGGATAACACCAAGAAACAACTTGTCTATTCTGTTACAACACAACTACTTAGTAAGGATAACACTAAAAACAATTT